CAACAGTCTAAAGTAGATTCCTGGGTTCTTTTTATATGGGCCACATCTTTCAATGTGTGACCTTCTCTAATCAATCTATCTTCATGCAATATCTCCACTTTCCAGCAAGGAAAAAAAAGAACAAAAATAATACATGAAAGCAAGTGTTGGTGGAAAGGGACTGCAGGACATTGAAATGATGAGGGCTGAAACAGACTGGGAAATGGCCTTTTGCCATGATGCTATTATTTACCCCTTCCCTCCCATTATCTACCAATAGCACCATATTTTCAAGGGTATAGCCTATTGTGTATAGCAGAAATAAGAAGCTGCATTCTATCAGCCCTAGATAGGAAAGCCAATGGTGAGGTATCATGAGAGGTATATTCCAAAAACATTTGGAGGGTCCCACATTCTCCATCCCTGACCTGTGGTTAGCCCTTAGCTCATGGGTGGGCAATTAATTTCTATGGGGGGGGCACATGAAAAATCTGAACTGTGTTCGGGGGCCGAACCAACTTTACTTAAAAATAAAATGAAACAGTGATGTTATGTTTGTTTTTATTTTAAACTTGTTAATCTTCACAAATACTAAAGAGTTTTTTTGCGGTATGTTAAGGATAAGCAACTGATCAACTTTAGACAAAAAGCTATAAATTCTTTTGATATTTAAAACTGTCCGGGGGGCTGGACAGGAGCAGCTCGTGGGCCGTATGTGGTCCTCAGGCCACACTTTGCCCAGGTTTGCCCTAGCTGATGAGCGCCCTCGGGCCACACTTTGCCCAGGTTTGCCCTAGTTGATGAGTAGATCCCAAGCCCACCAAGATTGATGTACTGCTGGGAAATCTGGCCTGAAGTAGATGCTCCTATATTGTGCTCTCTAGAGCCTTGTTGATAGAAGGCCTACTTTTTACCTCTGGCTTCTTCTTCTAAGGACTTTAAAGCCTGAATGCAGAATTGCAGCCAGATCTAAAGAACCCAATATGCATTTATCTATGCACTGCACAAACCTATCAAACATTTTTCTCCCCACTAAAATTTCCCCAGCCTGCACAAGTTTTCTCTCAACTCCTTTAAATAAACCTCTTCTATGAGACAGACCTCTATGAGCTGCAGAGAACAATGTTGCAATTCCACAACAAGTACAAGGTATTACAGTTGACTCCACACAGAGAATCGCTTTTGCAGGCTCCAAGAAAGGAAGGTGAAATCAGTGCTGTGTTCTCATTATTTACAAAAAGCTTGATTTTGGAATCTGCATGTGGTCGCAGTGGCTGACAATAGCCAGACACACCCACATGCTAATAGCTTCCCAATATGTGGTAGGCAACTCCAAACACAAAACAGCCTTGATTTCTAGCTGCTGTCTTCTCCATGGCAGAGCTTCAAAATGTAACTCAGGTATAGTACTCATGGATACTACACCTGACCCTATTTTTTAAAAAATAATTTGCCTTTACTCAACATTTATACCATATTTGCCAAATGAACAGTTCTGAAGAATAAAAAAAAAGCTTACTCAGTTTGTAACTTTTTAGCGATGTTGTCCAATCATGGAGTTTGTTATTTACTGTTCAAGCACTCCACATACTCCCTCAAAATTCATGCTGTGCTTCTCTTATTGGTGTCCCTGGACCTGGGACAGTTTCATTTTTTTCTTCTTAGTCTGAAGGTCCTAAACTATGTCAGGATTCAGTTCTGCAGGACAATCCACTATCTCATTTATCTTCCCCAGCTAAACGGACCCCCACTTCAGTTATTTTTACCAGCTAAGCCGATGTAACCAAAGAAGAAAGAAATATGTTAACAAGTCACAAGTTCTTTCTTTTTGTTTTCTTTTTGTTATCTCCCATTTCCTCTTGCTACATTTATAATATCTCCAAGTTATAAAAGAGGAAATAAGGAGTAGCCTTCCGAATGTCTGGTATAAAACTGAAAGACAAGGAGAAAACTGTTCTCTCTTTTTTTCAAAAAGGAAAATTTAAAAGTGAGGATTGCATGGATGTACTCCCCACCATCTCATTGAAATGTAGTCAATCAGTTTTTTTTTAAGTGGATCTGTGCTGTTATATGTTATTTTCTGCTACTTCATCAAGAACAGGGATAAGTAAATAAAAGGATGCAGGAGCTTATGGATCCAGACATGCATGCAATTGTCATCTTCCATGACCGTTTGGATTCCTTGTAATGTCAATGAGCCACCACTGCCCATATTACTGAGCATATCAAAAAAGGTGTATGCTTCCATAGAATAGAATCTACTTAAACTGCCAGTCTTGCAATGTATTTTCATAAACAGCTGCATTATTTTCAAATTACTCCAAGCTTGTGCCTGGATATTTCCAATCATCTGCCCCCTCCCCTCCCCACATATTCAGAGCACTCTCCTTAGCAGCTGTTCACATATAAGCAGAAGTAGAAGACCAGGTGGCTTGGCTTGTAGCCAGATGGGCAAGTGGCTGTAAGAAGGGCAGCAATATGCTGAAGCTAAATCCACAGGGGCTTAGGTGAAATATTGTCTGGATAACGGACAGAGGTCCAAGCAATAACTGCCAAATTGGCAGGATATGATTTGGAAGGACAATAAGGTTGATGACATAATGCTGCTTCACACTGTGTGGTGGGTTGTGCAAGATTTCCTACCACTGGATTGGTGGGATCTATTCTTTTTTAATGCTACCTGTTAGCCACAAATAAATAAACAACCCCTTTGCCAGATGATGTATTTATGAATGATTGTGTTGCATACAACTAATGCTGGTCTTAAAGGAAATTAAAAGCATGTATCTCAAATAATGCCCATGAATCTCTTGTCTAGTGCAGTCTGTGAGCAGGAAAATAAAGAGCTTTATTCACTTTATCTGGAAAGTAAGGACTGAAGCCTCAAAACACCTCTAGCTTAGCTGTAAAAGCAACCAGAAGTCCTGTGCCTTAGGTGCTGTCACTCTGGAACTGACCTACAGTGACCCTAATAGCACTTACAATATGAGATGTGGTTTTACCAGTTCCACCTCCCACCTGAGTTTCCACGGCTGAGCAGAGATTCAGACCCAGGTCTTCTGAGTCCTAGTCCACCACTCTATCCACTTCACTGGACATCAACAGCACGTTAGAAACATAAATAATCCCTCCAACACACACACACACACACACACACACACACAGAGAGAGAGAGAGAGAGAGAGAGAGAGAGAGAGAGAGAGAGAGATTGGTGAAATTGGTTTGGATCTGAAGAAAATGCTTCACTACCAACAATTCCTGGTGGAGAGGAGCTGTAGTAAGAATGTGAAAAGGAGTGTTCCATGGATGAGGTTGAACCAGTTTTGGATCCAGTCTGGAGTTGGAATGGGGAAATATAAAGAAGCCTGCTCAGCTAGGAACAAAGATCAGGGGAAGGAGTCTATTCTCCTATGTGTATCATGGCTGGTGCAAGTGGCAGGAGTGCAAATGATGTAGTAGATCTTTTTCACTTCTGCCCCAACAATCCTACCTACTTGTATTGTGATAGCAGCTTTCATGGATCAGGTCTCCCTTTGTCAATATTGTGCAGTGAGCATGAGTTGGGGGGAGTTTGATGACAGTCGAGTAAAAAAAAAAGGCCATAAATGCAAACAGATAAAGGTAACACCCTCCCCCATCCATAGGTAGAGTGAGGTGGAGAGCTCAGGTAGCCAATGTTATGAAAAGCAGTAGGTGAGGCATTGGTGAGATCTTCTGACCCATGTACCAAAATAACTTTGAATATCATGCAGAAGGGGGTGATGCCATTTGCTCATCTGCCTCAGACAAGAGAAATATACTGAGACACCCTGAGTAGAATGATATCTAATTGCCCAATCGGAATAGTTACAGATAGTTGGACATGATGCAAGATGGATGAGGAAGATGTCATATAATTCAATTGCCTTCACTTTATCCTTGATGCTGCAAAATTTGAAACTGATCTAGGCCAAGTCTGCACAATTTATGACCCTGACCCAGGATGCCAAACACAACCCATCAGTCCAGTATCCAAGCCTCCTGGGTCCTTGCTGACCTCCTCTGTTAGATACCAGAAGCAGGAAGCAAAGTCAAGCAGTTGGTCCAGGGTCTGGATACATTGGAGAACTTAAGACTTCGACTTTGGTGAATGACAAGATTTACAGGGCCCAATAAAGTACAAAATCTATGGGACTCAAGGCTCTCTGCATATACAGCCACCCCCCTGGGCTCGCCTGCCTAAGGCCTTCCTATCATGAAGTTCCTAATAACCTCTCTGAGGATGCATGCAGTCTGTTGAAACGCCGGTAGAATGGACTGGAAGAGAAGTAAACACACAAGAACACCCACACAAAACCCGTGGCAGCCTGGGCTCCTCTCCCTCTGCAGCCGTAATGAGAGAGAGGCTCTGCTGCTTGCCTGCAGTATAGAAAGCAAGTGAAACTGATCGGATCCATTAAGTAACTAAAATGGATTGCATCTTCCCTTCAGATCTTTTCCAGTTCAGATGTAGATCTTGGACAGCTTCGATCAGAGCTACAGTACATCACGGAATTATTCCAAACATCAAGTCAGAAGCAGCCACCCATTACTTTTTTTTTTTTGCAAAGCACCTCACAAATAAACATGTTTTAATCGGACTCTTTCCTCCCCACCTCTCCAGCCCTGCCCTTTCTTTCCTTTCTTCTTCCACGTGTAACTATTCCGGGGGTCTCTTTTTCTCCTGGGCCACTCACGGTACTAGGGCAATGCCCGCTCCCTCGCCCGGCTCTTGAACGCGCCCACGACCCCAAACCTTGCCGCTGCTAGACCTATTTACAACCTCTCCAGAGGTGGGATGGCGTCGCTCCCTGATGTCACGAACTGTCCCCCCCCCGCCCAAACCCATCCTTCCTCCGCCCTCGCTTCCCCACCTCACCAAGACGCCGGCATCGGCCCAGAAGAGATGGAAAGTTCGCCCGCACCTTCCCGAGCAGCCGCGCTGACTCTTCTGAATGATAAGCAGAGGGGCATGAAAAGGAGAAGCCCTCCCCTCCTCCTACCTTGGGCGGAGAGAGTTGGCGGGGCGGGCACGTGTCTGTGCGTGGCGTGCCTGGGCGGCAGCAGAACCGCGGAGTCCTTGAGGCACAGGCGGCGGCGGCGGCGGCAGTGGCAACAACCTCCCGCTCTCCCTCCCGCCTGCCTGCTGCAGGTGAGCCTTCTCCTGCCTCTATAGCTGCCGCCGCTCGCCAGCCAGCCAGCCCGCCCGCCCGCGTTCTGTGTGCGCGCCCTCAGCCACTGCAACATCTCTGCATTAGGATGTGCTCCTCCCTACCCCTCCCTTCCCCTGCGCGCGCTTTCGCTCCCTCCTCCTCGGCGCCCCCCCTCCCGCGCCGCACAACCGGCCTTCAAAGGGGGACGACGGAAGAGTTTCCTCTCTCTCACTCTCCCCCCTACTCCTCTTTTCACTCTACCTACCTCATTCGCCAAGAGGACCAGTCAGCGCTGGGGAGAGAGGCAGTTTGTGGGTGACTTGCAGCACCAGCATCCATAATTCATGGTCTTCCCTCAGCTGGTGCGGCAGCTTTGAGCGCTCCACTCCCTGACATGACAGGTTCTCAAAAGATGGTGGGGGAGAGGGAGTGACAAAGGAAATCACGTGTGAGTGAGCGGGTGAAGACTATTTAAATTTCTTCTCAACTGAGAATCTTTAATAAATTGTTTCATTTGTCTGCTGAAGGACTCCCAGGGAACCGTTTTATTGAGTGGATAAAATAATAGTAGCTAGAGACATAAAATACTGTAGCAGAGATTAACCAGCTGTTTGTTGTCTCTGACTTTCTTCAACCTTCTGTAAAAACAAAAGCTCTTGACACTTTCCCTTTCTGTACCTCTGTTGTTGATTTCTTCTGTGTCCCCTTCTCTCTCTCTCTTCCACCCCCCCACTTTCCTTTTAATATTCTCAAGCAATCCAAATGGCAAAGAAACCCAGACTCCCCCGTCCCCTCCTCCCCAAGCAAATATTTGATTCCACAATTGCCTGTGTGACAGAGCATATAATTTGTAGCAAGCGAGGTCCACTTAAGGAGATGGACATCCTGGTGAAACCTGGTTTCCCACTTCCACAGGACATCTCTGCCCACCCCCCCGTTTCAAATTCTGCTGTGCCTGTTTTGCAGGCTTCATAGCAAGATGGGCAATCTCATTATTGGAAAATGGCATCTTTCTGCTCAACACATTGGAACCACCTACTTGGATGCTTAGTAACAATAGTCAGTATTTAAACCTGAGACCCAGGTGGCCCCCCACCTCCACCAACCCTTGGAAAATAAACTGAGGCTGTTTCTCAAGAGTTCATGTGCATGGTGTTTCTGAGCATCTACAGAGAGAGCACTGTTCCTTGCTGCTGGACCACAATAGCTGTTCTCTATGCAAATGGGCTTAAAGAAGAGAGATTCTGTGGCACAACTTCTAGGCAGGCAGGAACCTGTCCTTTCTCTGTAATAAACCATTCCTGTTCCCATAATGCCTGACCATTGGCTAAGCTCACTCAGGCTGGTGGAAGTTGTAATCCAAGTCATCAGGGACACAGGGGTGCTTCTACCAAACTTAAGTGCTTCTGAGGGACAAATATGCAAATAAAGTTGATACTAGGCCCATGTGGTATTCATTGTGCATGAGATATGCCCCATACAAACAAGGAAGGGGCTCTTGTACCAATGCTTGGATTAATAGCTTGTCCTGCTCACCATTGGTTATGGTCTCCTCAGCTACTTGTGTTTTGAAAGTCTGAAGGATGGAATGGTTTGGCTAAAAAAAATTAGCGGAAGGCACCAAATATAAATAATTATGTACTGCCATATTGTCCCTTCTTGCAGCCCTCTCTACAGTTTTCTTGATTTAGAGTAGTCAGATGCAATTTACTGTTCTCTTCTCCTGGAAGTGCCCTGGGATCATGTAACTTGCCCAAGACAACACAGGCTGGGTCTTATCTTACAAGGCATGGTGGGGAATTGAACTCGCCATCCATGGTGCTCCAGCTCACTGAGCTATATAGCCAATATGGGGTGTCTAACTGATACTTCCCATATCAAAGTTAGTGTGTGTGTTCCATTTGGAGGAAAATACACAAGCAGGAAGTGCTGCTGCATCCATGTCCTGCTGTGGGTTTCCAGTAGGCATGTGATCACCATTGTGCAAAGTTCTGGGCTTGGTAGTGGCATTGGTCTTATCCAGCAGTGCTCTTCTTAGGTTCTCATGAATTTTTTTAAAAAATTATTAAACTCAAGGGGCTTCAAAATCTTCATCAGGGTCAGTCATATAGGCACAAGCAACTTACACCTTTGAGCTTCAACTGCCTTGCAAAGCCAAAACAAAACAGAACCCCTAAAGAGTATCCCTAAAGTTACATTTCAAGAGTATCCCTAAAGAAGATATTGAACATGTGTTGAGTTCAATAAACATCTACCTGTCTATCTTGCATTCCTTCCCAAATCAACTAATTAAGAGTTCCTTTTCCCCTACCCCCTTATTTAGACACTGAATTGCATTACAGTATTTGATAAATCAATATATCGAAGAAAAGCAAGGCTACAATAGCGAGGTATCAGATAATGATATACATTAATAACTTCACCCTATCTGCTTTCTAATAAAATCAATCAGAAGGGTAGTTCTGTACATTGTCACCTTTAGTTTGATGGGTAAATGAAACAGAACTATCCTCCCGCTATTCTTCCTTCCTTCCTTCTCCACCATAAGAAAAGTATTGATATCAGTCAGATCAATTGGAGGATAAACCCAGTTCACTTATTTCTTGAGGCATCCTCCAGTTCCTAACATTTTCACCAAGTGTTGCTGGGGGTGATGGGAATTGCAGTCCAACTCATCTAGAGAACAGGAAACTGGACAGATACACATTTCTATGAGTGTAAATTACATTTAGCGGGGTGATGGGAATTGTAGTCCAACTCATCTAGAGAAAAGGAAACTGGACAGATACACGTTTCTGTGAGGGTAAATTACATTTAGCAAGAAGTTTCTTTTGGTTTCAACACAAAACAAAGCAAAGCAAAACAAAACTAAGCAAAACAAGACATTGTGGCACCTTAAAGACTAATTGCTATATTTTAATGTAAGCTTTCATGGAACATGCCCAGTTCATCAAACATAAGAGTCAGAATACAGAAACATTCGTGTGGAATACAGAGACTACATGGTGAAACATTCGTGCAAGGGTCTAAAATAAGGGGACAGTGATGTTTGGTTGCATTTCACACGTAATTATCTAAGTAATGACATAAGGGGACAGTGATGTTTGGTTGCATTTTACATGTAATTAAGATTTAAGATTTAATAATCTTTCTCTGTCACTTTAAAAAAAAAAACTAAGCATCCTGAGAAAGAAGAGGTTTGACATTTTGATTTTTGTTTCAGGCTCTGTCCTCTGTGTCTGTAGCGGGCACACTGTGGTCAAATAAAGATATTACAATGCTCCTGCTGGACCCTGTACCAGCCAGGAAATGTTCTCTTTCATCGCCCCAGAGATCTGGTCTGTAGAGAATACTTGTCAGCTCCCACTGGACAGATGATCTGCAGGTGTTGTTTATGACTAGCTTTGGTGTGTTTCATGTGGCTGCAATAACATCTCAAATATCGATGGGGCTTCACTTCCCGACATTCAGCAGAAAAAATATTCTGTATGGGTGGCAAAAGCAAGAATAGACTTTCCATGTACCTTTCTTTCCATTCATTCCATCCAATACCTGTCTTTCTATCATCGTCGTCGTTTAGTCGTTTAGTCGTGTCCGACTCTTCGTGACCCCATGGACCAGAGCACGCCAGGCCCTCCTATCTTCTACTGCCTCCCGGAGTTGTGTCAAATTCATGTTGGTTACTTCGCAGACACTGTCCAGCCATCTCATCCTCGGTCGTCCCCTTCTCCTCTTGCCAT